CATATTTCTGTGTTGCATCACTCTCTGGTTGAAGTAAAGGTTCGACAACCTCATCAAGTTCTATATTCCTCCCACTCAATTCTTTCGAGAGAAACTCCTTCTCGAGAAAGGACCCGTTCTTAGCGACAAACAATTTGCCCTCGGATCTGAGATAGAAGGTATACCCAACTGTCACCTTTGGGTATCCTATGAAGATGTGTTTGTCCGCTTTGGGTTCGAGCTTCTCCGGCTGAAGCCTTAAGCATCGCAGCCCCAAACATTAAGAAGTGACAACTTTGGTTTCTTGCCAAACCAATGTTCACACGACGTCGTTTCAACGGACTTAAATGGTGTCCTATCTAAAGTGAATGCAGCTGTCTCTAACGCATAACCTCAAAATGAAAACGGTAGATCGGTAAGAGACATCATAGATCGCACCATATCTCATAAGGTTCGATTACGATGTCCGGACACACCATTACCCTGTGGTGTTCCAGGTGGCTTCAACTGTGAAACAATTCCACAATGTCTTAAGTGTTTGCCAAAGTCATAACTCGGAAATTCTCATTGATCAGATCGTAGGAATTTGATCTTCTTGTTATGATGATTCTTAACTTCACTCTGAAATTGCTTGAACTTTTCAAACGTTTCAGACTTGTGCTTCATTAAGTAAATATACCTATATCTACTCAAATCGTTAGTGAAGATGAGAAAATAGCGATATCCACCGCACGCTTCAATTCTCATTGGATCATACGCATCAGCATGTATGATTTCCAACAAGTCACTTGCCCGTTTCATTGTACCTGAAAACGGGGTCTTAGTCATCCTGCCCATGAGGTGTAACACCCTCGATGCGACTATAGCTCCCACGTGTCGAGGCACGACTTAGAGACATAATCGCATTGAAGGCATATGTCGCAAGTTAGGCAATCATCACAACATCCCATGTAATGTAAATAATAAAGGGGAGATAACATAGTTGGCTTACACTCGCCACGTCAATCAAGGTACATAAATAACATTACATCATCCAAACACTCATGGCCCGACTATGGCGCCAAAATAAAAGATAACCCAACATGTGACACGGTCCCGATCACCCCAAACTGGGCACCACTACTGATCATCAGGGAAAGACACGTAGTATCATTGAGAGTCCTCGTCGAACTCCCACTTGAGCTCAAGCGCGTCACCTGGAGCGGAATCATCAGGACCTGCATCTGGTTTAATAGTAATCTGTGAGCCACAGGGACTCAGCAATCTCGCACCCTCGCGATCAAGACTATTTAAGCTTAATAGGTAAGGCAAGGTAAATATGTGGAGCTACAGCAAGCGACTAGCATATATGATGGCTAACCTGTTCGCAAAAGAGAGCGAGAAGAGGAGGCAAAGCGCGAGCGAGAAACTAGAGAGCAACCTGCGCAAGCATTACTCCAACACCGTGTTCACTTCCCGGACTCCGCCGAGAAGAGACCATCACGGCAACTCACACTGTTGATTCATTTTAATTAAGTTAAGGTTCAAGTTATCTACAACCGGACATTAACAAATTCCCATCTGCCCATAACCGCGGGCACGACTTTCAAAAGTTCAAATCCCTGCAGGGGAGTCCCAACTTAGCCCATGACAAGCTCTCATGGTCAACGAAGGAATAGACCTCCTCCCGAGACGTTCCGATCAGACTCGGTACCTCGGTTCTTCAAGACACTTCGACAGGTTAAAACAAGACCAGCAACACCGCCCGAATATGCCGACAAATCCCGATAGGAGCTGCACATATCTCGTTCTCAGGGCACACTCAGATGAGCTCTCCATACAACTAAAACCAAACCTCGAGTTTCCCCGAGGGGGCTCTACACAGGACTCTAGTTTGGACCAACACTCAGAGGAGCACTGGCCCAGGGGGGCTAAAATAAGATGACCCTCGGGCTCCGGAAACCCAAGGGAAAAAGAGGCTAGATGGCAAATGGTAAAACCAAGGTTGGGCATTGCTGGAAAAGCTTTAATCAAGGCGAACTATCAAGGGGTTCCCATTATAACCCAACCGCGTAAGGAACGCAAAATCCGGAAACATAACACCGATATGACGGAAACTAGGGGGGTAAGAGTGGAACAAAACACTAGGCGAGAGGCCGAGCCTTCCACCCTTTACCAAGTATATAGATGCATTAAGATAACATGGCAATATAATGATATCCCAACAAGTAAATAATGTTCCAACAAGGAACGGTCTCCAATCTTCACCTGCAACTAGCAACGCTATAAGAGGGGCTGAGCAAAGCGGTAACATAGCCAATCAATGGTTTGCTAGGACATGGTGGGTTAGAGGTTTGACATGGCAATTTGGGAGGCTTGAAAGCAAGTGGTAGGCATCATAGCATTGGCATAGCAAAAGAGCGAGTAATCTAGCATAGCAAAGATAGTAGTGATTTCGAGGGTATGATCATCTTGCCTGCAAAGTTGTCAGTGACTGGATCCTCGAAAGCAAACTCAATGGGCTCCTCGTTAGCGAACTCGTCTCCCGTCTATACCCAAAACAAGACAAACAAGCAACAAGGACACAATCAACCACGTGCAAGGATCAAACAATATGATGCAAAGATGGTATGCTATGCGGGATGCAATATGTGATGCATATGCAAGATTTGACAAGGAATGCATGAACCTGGCCTCAACTTGGAAAATCAAGTGTGCCACTGGAAAGATGAGATGAAATCGCTTGAAAATGATATAAAGAACGCCGGAATCGGAACTACGGTTTGGAAATGGCAAGCGATTTAAATATGACCACGTTCTGCGATTTACAGCAAGTAGCCATCTAAATGCAACGAGATGAACATGCTACAGCACCCAAGCATGGCATAAAAATACATGGCAGGAATCCATTCAAGATGCTTAACAAAAGTCTAGCACTGAGCTACGGCCAATTCATCCATTAACAGGTTCAAACAAGCATGGCAAAAATGCATTTGACGAACAGATCTCAAACTTAGTGAAATTAACACTTGTCTGGAATTTCAGATCAGATAGCACTCTTTGGAGCAACAAAACTACATGCTACAGGATCTGAACATGGCAATGTAAAGCATGGCATGGAGCTACTCAAAGAGCTTAACAAAAGTCCCTTAGTGACCTTGAGCCAAAAGGGATCAGAAAATACATTTGCAAGCATGTAAACATGGCAAAAACATAATCAGTTCTCAGACTTAGTGAAAACTGGAACATGCTGAAACAGATATCAAGTAGGCATGTTTACGAGCTCGATGCACTCACCACAGAGCAAGTCATGACAATCTAAGCATGCACCCATCAAGAATACACAAAATACAAGCTAGACATGGCAAGAACAATAACATAGCATGCACGGATCAACTACAACATCACCGGCAAAATCGCTAACAAGTAGACAATCTGCCCAGATTCACGAAATGACAAAAGTAGAGCTCGATTGACTCAAGCTAGGGTGCTCTATAATTGCAAACAAAGACATGGATGGATAGAGAACTACAAAATTAACAAAACATCCTTACTGATCATCCTCAAAAGAGGCATGGATCACTAGGAAACAACATGAACATATGGCCATATGAGATTAAATCCGAGAACGGGTTAATAACTGGACCAAAACTAAATTATACCCGTACACGTACCTCTGAAAACCAAACCTGAACCATAACCAAATAATACCATTTCCAGCCCAACCAAAACTGCACCCAATGTTTTTTCCACCCAAACCGGTCCACACCCAGTATATAACCATGGGTTTAAACCCAATACATAACCGTATTCAACTTTAGTTTAACAGTGACAATGCCAAACAATAATTTAGCAGAAACATCCAAGACTTGCCTGAAGCAACAAAGAACTCTTAGAACAGCTAAAAAAGACAAGGCAGGCAATGTGGACGCATAACCAAATCATTTAACGGTAGAGCACATCCATGTCCTGTTTTAACCTCAAATACTTCCAATTCTTCAGCCTTTAGGGGTAGATAAGCGTCGTACCGATTCATGCGGTGACAATATGCAGGATAATAAAGATAACATGTTCCATGGCACATTCCTAACAATTAACTCCACTACAAAATTCAGTCTAGAGAAAGTTCAAAATCATGACGACGACACAAAGACAATGAAACACGGCAGGCCGAAACATGGCTTTTAGGACGGTTTTCGCACTCTACTCCTCCTTGATGGCGCCCTTGTCGCTGACGTAGATACCGTCCAAGAACTTCCTGATATCCTTGTTCTTGACGTGGCATTTCTGCATAACAGCAAAGGAGAGGAAGACTGGTGTTAGTGGTCTGAGTAGAGGAAATTCTTAACAAACAGGAGCATACAGGAGCATACACAAGTAGTAATAAAATTCTTAACTGAATTTGATATTCAGTAACTGATCGTTGAGCATACAAGAAACTACTGTGATTAAGCTGGTGTTCTGCGTTTGCGGGCCTTCGGCCACTGATGAGTTGCCACGTATGCCATTGGCTCATTTGGACAGCTCAACTCTTTAAAGGAACAGCTCATTGGCTCATTTGCCAGGAATTTAAACAAGAATCAGATGTGTAAAGGTTACAGAAATAGTCAAATTATCCTTTATGTTACTCAACAATGAAATTTTGCTAGGTTCTTCCACCTAATATATTGCTAAGACGAGTTAGACATTCACATAATTCTGGACCAATAATACCAATCTATAATTTGAGATGCTACTTGATGAAAATTAACTCAATAATGGTCTTAATCTTTAAAGGAACCATTTTAATTGTCACCTAAATAAGGACCATGAAACAGGTTGGAACCAGTTGCCTTAGCAGTAGCCAGTAGGTAGAGTTCAACAAAGTGGAAATGTAAAATCACAACCTACAATATGGCCAGGCAATAATACCAAACAGAATATGCCGCGAAGAAGTTTTTACCCGTGTGCTTACTGTCCATCTCCTGTAAATGAAACAAAGAATTAATTTAAAGGCATATGAACACTTCTATACTGCAACTGCAAGTTTTATATATCCCATTCTACACAAGTAGTAGAACCAAAATGTAAGCGGTTAACTCACCCTCCTTTGGTTTGAACAACCAATCTTTACCACAAACAAGCACTTCTAGCATATCAGGGTTCAAAGAGCTTCTCTTGTCGCCTAGTATCCTCTTACCACAACTGAAGGCTGATTCAGATGCCACTGTGCTCAAAGGAATTGCAAGAAAGTCACGGGCCATAGATGCCAATATAGGAAACTTTTCGCCATGCCTCTTCCACCAACCCAAGACATCAAAGTCATCACCGACCTTCTCGGATGCTTCTTCCAAGTATGCATCAAGCTCGGATTTGTGTACACGTGACCTCCAACGAGACTTGTGCTGGGCAAACTCTTCTTCCAACTTCCTTTTCCCTGCAACAGGTGATCCAATGATGGTATTGCCTTGACTAGAAGGTGTCGAGTGTGCAGTGCTTGTCGCTGCAAGTAGCTCATATTCCTTGACATACCTTCTCACCCATTCTAAAGCAATCTCCACTTGTTTTGTAATTTTCTCCCCGTCAGTAGACAACTTGCAATAGAAGAAATCCAAGTAATCTTCTTTCCTCCTTGGATCCAAGAATGTAGCAATGACAAGTGCATGGTTAAACTCAATGCCCTTGCTTTTTCTACGACGGTTAGGATCTGCATTCTCCTTCTCCTCGGGATCCCAATATTTATCAAGCTTCGTTTGCATCACTGCCGCCAATTCCTTCAACACATCAGAGGTCTGCCAACCCGGATCTTTCAATGCATGGCAAATAGAAAGCACAACTGGCAGAAACTTATGTGAAGTTGGCTTCCTATGAGCTGAAACGATCAAAGTAAGCTCTTCAAAAGCTTTTAGAAACTCACAAATAGCTTTTGCCTTCTCCCATTCCTCCTCACTTGGAGAAGCTATCATCTTTCTGTTGGCATAACTAGTGAGAACAGATTTGTACGCCAATGCTTCTACAAGCATTTTCCAGGTTGAGTTCCATCTAGTTGGTGTATCAACAGAGATGCCTTTCTTTGCACGTAGACCCATCCCACTTGCAATTGTATTGAAATCTTGAAGTCTTGAAGGAGAAGAGTCAATATACTTCATCAGCTCGCGTCTCATGTCAATAGGTTCATGGATTATTTTCATTCCATCCTGAACCAAGATATTAAGAATGTGCGCACAACACCTGACATGCAAATGTTGACCTTCAAGGAGCAGCTCATGTTTGTGATATTTTATTAACTCCTCACATGCATTAGTATTATTGCTGGCATTATCTAGTGTCAAAGTGAATAATTTGCCTCTTATGCCCCATTCTGTTAAGCAACGAACTATTTCTTCCTCTATCGCATAGCCTGTATGGGGATACTTCACTTCTGCGAAACTTACGGTCTTCTTCTTGTAGATGAATTCTGCATTGATATAATGGGCGGTGATGCACATGTAGCCCAAGTCCTGTGATGATGTCCACATGTCAGATGTTAAGCAAATGCGAGAATCCAAATTTTGTAGCTCTACTTCGATATCTTTCTTCATTCCCTTATACATCTTCACTGCATCATCACGAATTGTGTGACGACCCTTGATTTGAAACGCTGGCTGCATTGAGTCAATCCATGGTTGAAGATGGGGATCTTCAAACTTAAGAAAGGGGATCTCAGCATGGACGCAATACTTGACCATGCGTTCACGACAAACTTTCTCATCAAACACAAACAGTCCTTCGGATGGTTTTTTTTCATGGTCAACAAAAATCTCTGTCTGCAAGCATCTTGGATTGATCGGCAAGCCTCTGCAATATGGGTCCTCAAACTGCTAGTCCCAAACTTGGTGTGAAGTTGCGCTCCACAGTATTTGCACACAGCCTTGAAATCACCATCTACGAGAACCAAATCTACTTCATAATGCTCCCATACCTTGGACCTTCTAACATGTGGTATTTGACTCGTATCCTCATCCATGGAATCAGCAGTCTCCGAACCCTCTGACGTAGACATGCCTCAAGTTTTATAGCACACTGCAGGGGGAAAATATGTGGAAACTTACTGTTAGAAAATGGTAGAATATAGAGCAAGAAGGTAGTGAAAGAAGAGAGAACCTAACAAGTTACTGTCATCATGAATGGAGTTACTACCTATGTGAGGCCCTAACATTTGCCCATTCACTTAACTTTCTGGAAATGGTTATTCAGTGGTTCAGGTGTGCATTGGTTTTGGAGTTCTATATCCAAAAAATACATTTTTTGCTACTAATATGTTACAGATTGCAACTAACAGGGGCCACATTGCTTTAAAAGAATTTAGGGCCATAACAAGATTGCAACTAACAAGTCAAGAGTATGTACATACACATGGAAACTTGCAAAAGAGACTAGCTGTACATCAGTCATAGATACATACAGTGAAATCAATCTTGTGCACATGTAACTTCCTGATTAAGCCTAGTGCTGCTATTCATTCAGTTATATCAAAGCAGAGTTTAGCTTCATCCCAGGGGCCATTGATCTGAAACCGGCCAAAAGTCGGTGGCCAAAATTGCACATATGCTGCACTATTGTGATCATTGTTATTAGGGATGTGCATCTTCAAGCCTGATATTATGGTTCAGTTTGCATTCTTACTTACACATCTATGCGACACAACCAAGTGAGCAGGACATCTATTTATAGAACAACACTACAGAAGCTCTAAACTTTCAAGAGCAAGAGTAATATATTTTCAGAGATGTGTAGTTCAGATTGTGCAGTCAGCAACCAAACCAGAACAGACTCATCTCCCTCTTCTCTCAGTTTCTAATCTGGAACATGGAACAATGGTTTTATCCCCTGTTTTTTAGCTTGGACTGATATCTGAATTTAGTGCATCTACAATTCTGCACGACACATTCAAAATCTGCGAGAGTAGGAAAAAGCTGTGGAATCAACCTGGTTGCTGTTGTTGTTTTTGCATACGAGGAGGGGACCAGCAGGATCGGAGCACCTTGCCGTCGTTGCCGCCGGAGCACCTTGTCGCGGGAGGAGCAGGACCTGGTCAACAGGAGGAGCCGGTCAGAGACAGAGAGAGAGAGA